ACACAAAAGAGAACCAGAAGAATGAGATTTACCAATTAATTAATTGACAAGTGTTGAATAAATAATTAATTGGATTGCTTATTAATCGGCCCGAATTAATTAATTGGATTAATTAATTCATGGACCGTATTTAATTAATTTGATTAATTAAATATCGGATCGGGTTAAGTTTAGAGATGGGCCAGCCCACTTGGACTTATATTAATAGGCTGCTAGGGTTTGTAAACTGTAGAGATTTTTCATTATTCTTGTTAGCACAAGAAAAGAAAACCCTAGTGGATCGCCATTGGAGGCTGAACAATTGGACAGTTTGGATTGCAGATCGTGATCATTGGAGTTCGAGAATCAGCAAAAGAGTTCGCAGAATTCATTAAAGGTATAATTCTTATCATAATTTCTATCTAAACACATTGCAGATCCTTGGTGGGAATTGAAAATTATTTTATTTCCGCTGTGCATGATTAAGTAAATTCCCAACAGTTTCAACCATAGTGAACATGTATTTTACGACAGATAGGGCCTGAAATTTTTCCTTTAACGGNGAGAATCAGCAAAAGAGTTCGCAGAATTCATTAAAGGTATAATTCTTATCATAATTTCTATCTAAACACATTGCAGATCCTTGGTGGGAATTGAAAATTGTTTTATTTTCGCTGTGCATGATTAAGTAAATTCCCAACACAGTCTAATTACTGACAATGTCATATTAGTTTTTGAGCTTCTGCATTTGACGGTGACATGAAAAAAATGGACCTGAATGGTTTATAACACTCAAATTAGACATGATCAAAACTTACGATCTGGTTGATTGGACCTTCTTAAGCACTATGATGAGTAAAATGGGGTTTTCGAATAGGTGGGTCGATATGGTAATGGATTGTGTATCTACAGACTGCAGCCACATTCTCATTGTGCATATGATCGGGAACGTGGTCATGTAGTGCCTAGCAGAGGACTCGGACATGATTGTCCATTATCTCCGTACCTATTTCTATTATGTGCTTAGGGATTATCCTCCCTTATTCAGCAGGCTGAATTACGGGATTGAGGGTAAGACATCTATTCTTCGTGGATGACTCACTTTTGTTCGTCTGAGCTACACTGGTTGACTTATTATAAATTCTGTCCTCCAAACCTATGGCAATGCATCAGCTAGTCGACTTTGATAAGTCCATGGTTACTTTAAGCCCTAATGTGAGGAATATTGCTACTTGTACCAAGTAGCTAATTAACAAAACTTGTTGGCACAATGAGGTGTAGGGTTGAGATTTTGTGAATGGACGGTTGAGATTCATTAAGAAAAACAATACTTTATATTTTTGTCTTTTTATTTGTATTTTGTCTATTATACCCCTACTTGTATATTTTAATTGTTTCCGCGTATTAATTGGTATCAGAGCGCAGTAACGAAACTGAAGAAAATTTTTAGAACTTCGGAAATATGTTCTAAGATGAATAGAAATGATAAA